AAAAGTACATAAATCAATAACGAATACAAATTCTTGTTTGAATATTATGAAAATAGGCAGTAGGGAAAAATTGGCCTTTTGTCTCTCTTGGTCTTGACCATGGGGGGAGGGAGTGAGTTTGTTTATGTTTGAAGGGTAAGGCGATGATTATTAATAATAGGGAGAGAAGAAAAGGGATTGGATAATGGATAGTAATAGTTGTAAGTGGTGCTTAGAAATGGTTGGGATGATGGGTGGAAGACTTAGAAGTGAGTAACTGGAAAAGTTAGGGCGAGAGTGAACACGGCTCAATTATTTATTTGAAGAATTAATAATTCCACAATACGTGCTTGGGGTTCCTCATTCACCGGACAAGGTTCAGCATAAAACCTTTGGCTTGTCTACTAAAAGAGAAGTTGTTAGATTCAAATCTGGGCCATACACTCCTTCTATCTTAACGCGTTCAAACGCCATTTATTTTTAAACTACCCTTCAAATAATTGGGACGCCCCTTCTATTATTATTATTATTATATGTTATGTATGAAAATAAAATAATCAACGTTTACAATATTTGTACATGACTAGTCAGCTCAGATCTCATTGCCCTTCCCCAGTTTCCTCCTTTTGAAAGAGAGAAGCAATTGCGAAGGAGATGAGGAGCTAGTTTCATTTTTATATGGTAAAGTGAGTCTAAAAATGGAGGTGGTAAGAAACAAGAAGGAAAACAAAAAGCCAAGTGAACCAAATGTTATGGATGAAAATTCAAAAAGGTTGGCACAGATGGAGAAAGACGTAGGGTAGTACCTTGAAATAAGGGCTTGAACGTGCAGGACACGAGGGACCACGTGGGGGTCTCCGGTGGCACCGCTATGTGCGTTCAAGGAAGCTTTGTTTAGTTTTTGGCCTTGGAATTTATTTTTCGAGGTCGACCCTGCTTTTTACGTATTTCTTTTACCAATATTAATTATTTCAATAAGATCCATGCCATGCGTATTCTTTTCAAAGTAAGTGTCATTTTAAATTTTGTAATTGGGTTTAGTAAATAATGTAAGCATAAACTTGGACTTTAGTAGGGGCTCACGTGCTTGTCTTATCCTTAAACAACGTGCTCCTTTTCTTTTCCCCTATTTTCTATTCCCCAAAGTTTGAGTCTCCAATTGTCATCTTTAATTTCTGTTTTGGGTCAATGAGAATTAGCAAATCAAGGTAGACATCGTTTGAAGAATCAAAGCTAATGTCCGTGGGCTCTTCGAAAAGAAGGTTGGACTGCATATTGCTCAAAATTTTGTAATTCCTTTCGTGAGACAACTTGTTCGTGTGCATATGTTATAATATATAATCACTTTCATTCTTGTGATCGCAAGTGCTTTTTTATTTTACTTTTCTTTTTATTTTGTTAACATTAAAGGTTAACAAAATCAGACACTAACGAGATATTTTTGTACAATCAAGACAAACTTTATGTTTTATTCCATATATTAGTAATTCTTTTTGTACTGTATGGATTTTATTATTAAACATTTCTTATATAATTATTCTTTAAATTTTTTAAAAAATTTAAATTTTGTAATTATTAATAACAAATATTATATTATAATAAATAGTGTGATATATAAAAAGATTAATTTTTAAAAATACTCTCTTTTAAAAGCATTTTTACAAATACTTTAGTTCAAAAATTAGTATTTATGAATTATATATAGTGGTGGATTATTTCATAAACGTTTTATCCAAACTGCGTGAGTGAATGCCGAAACAAACTGTGAATGCAGCGATTTAGAAGTTGTATTAGGTCGCAACGCTAAAGAACAAATACAGAAACTCAAAGAACGAAATGTGAACCTTAAAATATACTGCGTATAGATGAGCCATCTTAACGAAACGAAATGATTTGCATCCATTGAACCATAAAGAACACCGAAACGATTTATACTCTAATAATTAACGGTATTCTAGTATAGAGGTAATTTATTTATTCTGTAAATTGTGTGGAAGACATGATTCTGCATGTTCGGCTAAGAAAAGCCTATTCCAAAGCATTGTGAATTGTATCTCAGTACTTGGAACTGTTACACATGCATGCTTGTACAGCAAAATCTGTTTTAGAAATATTGCTTTTCCCATATATATATACGTCACGTGGCGCTGTACTCTTATTTTGGGAGTTGTATTCGTAGCTACGTCAAACTATCTTCCATATCTTACGTGTGCCAGTTCACTTTGTATCATATGGCTAAGTTTTACTTATAAACTATATGGCCCAATATCGCCAGCTCCTACAATCTTTTATTTTTCGTCCTTATTTCTTTCCATTTTATTGGTTCAAAACATGAAAACATATAAAACTTATATGATGCCCTATTCACTGAATTTACCAACTTCCAAACATTTGTTATTTTGTGTGTTGGGTTGAGTTGTCAAAAACCATTCCCTTTCTTTATATTTCCTTTTGTTTTTAAAAGTAAACTCGAGACGCGCATATTTGATTTGTGTAACTAGGTATAATTTAGCTTGCAAAGACGTTCGTAACTTATAAAAATTCATTAGTGATTGTCTAATTTCAGGCTTCGGCCTAGAATGATCATAATACTTTTCTTTTATCTTGTTCGTTAATGAGTTATCTTGTTCTCCACTAATTATCAATCTAATGTTTATATTTTCCCAGCAATCAATAAAATAAGTAAAAACCGAAAGGAGAGAAATATTATCTTTTTGACTTCCCTCAAAGAAACAATTACAATTTGACAAGACAAATGCAGATATATATATTTTTTTGTCAACAACGAATATAGAGCTTATACAATAGTTCTTACCAATTTAGTATTCATGTAATTAGAACTCGACACAAGCCCACAGAGCAAATGAATTTTCCAAAGCGAAGATGGTCATTTAGGTCCATGCATTAGGTGGCTAACCCAATCCATCCCAATAGAGCTGAAAGGCCATTGACCAGAACAAAGAAAAGAACTCAAAGGCCAATTTTGATGAAGTTACGACTTTGGCCTGGTGTCAGAATAAAAAGGTGACTTAGTCCAAAACACCCACTATACATACTTCCTCTTGGGGTGATTAGGAAGTATATCAAGGTCTAGTGGCCACTGGCTTCAGTCCAAACTTTGACTTCAGCGACAATAAGGACTATTTTTCAGCTATGCTAGGGTAGGAATGACAAAAAACAAAAATAACCCAGCCAGGATACAATATAAACGAATAAGCATTATTTTTGTCCTTAAAAGTATTAAGTGTTATTCATTTTAATATTTGATTTATGAAAGTTTCACTTTAATGCCAAAATTTTATAAAATATTATAAATTGTACTTTAGTTTACACAATTTAGTTTATATACACTTTTAGTTACTAAGGGTGTTAATGACCTATTTTGTGCTGCTAACCTAACTTGATTTGAAGTGAATTTTGATAGATATAAATTTTAGAGCTTAAAGTTTGTGTTTTAGGATAAATTCATATTATAACTTTGAGCCATCCCAACTCAACGTAATATTTGATCTTTTTCTAAAAGCTAAATTTTTTTTAACAGTTTTATATTGTTAACAAGAATTTTTAATTGAAAAGATAATATTTTAGACAACATAATATTATACTTGTATGGATATTATTTTTAAAACATATATACTATATAATATTCCTTAGTTTTAGTTTATACTTGCTAAAAAATATAATTTTTCTGTACACTATTTTACGATTTTTCACCTTTGATGTGGCAGCATTCCTTTTGTTCACACTTTTTTTCTGTGACGTTGACCTTTTTTTTTTTTTTTTGCTGAATGATCTTAACATGACAGTAAAATACCCGTGAAGTATGATAAAACAAAGAATAGAAATGTTTTTGATAACATATTTCTTTTTTTTTTTTTTATTCTTTTAAAAAATTGAGATTTTTTTTCCTTTTCCTTTTATACATCTAAAATCTAAATAATATATTATTGTCTCTCTTTTTGTCTACCCAAGCATAGCGATACAGCCCATGGGCCAAACTTGAACTGAGAGCTGCAAACTCAAGATGGAGAATTTAGCTCAGCTATAATCTATCTACCCAATCCATCCAACAGAAGCAATTGGAGGGCCGTAATACCGGAGTGAGAATTTGGCGTAGTAAAAGAACAAACACAGGACCAAATCATAACTGTAGCCCACTTACTACTTCATCTGCATTTAACATGAAACCGGATCATGGCCCAGTACGCTGTATCCTCAGCCCATACTAGCTCTTAACTAATTATACTTAGGAAAAAAACTACTACAACTTTTGTCATGATTTGTATACTTTTCACTATTTTCCTATCATCTTTTCAGGGTCTTAAGCAATTATTTGTTCCCCGATGCTATTACAGTCCTTCTTAGAACAGTCAAGTTAATATCTTAACGTAAGGTTTAGCAGTCAAAACAAAAACTTACAAGCTTAAACGTTATATGCATACCTTTTAGTAAGAATGATATATTTACACGAGAATGAGAAATTTGAACCATAATGGTATATAAATAAACAACATTATAAATCAATTAAAATGACGTGATCCATCTATTAAGTAGTGTGCTTATTTTAAAATGTCACAAAATTTTTGTTTTAATTATGATCATTCATAATAAGATCCATTAGTTTAGATTTATTTTTGTATTTTCAAAATGAAAAAAAATATCCTCACTTGATATGTTTCTTTTTTACAATACATTTGTCCAATTCTTTTTTTTATCCTTCTTCTTCTCTCTCTCTCTCTCTCTCTCTCTCTCTTAATCTTTCTCTAGATCATAAAATATTAATTATAAAAAAGAGTTGTGAGAATAGAACTTTTCATTTTGGATATTACGAGTACGACAGTAGACCGAAGAAACTGTCTGAGCACAAGCTATCAAGTACAAAAGAAAAGGTATAGAGCTTAAGCCCGGTTTGCAACTTACAAATGTCACTGGTTTGATATTTAGTTTTCTTAATGAAACATCACCAATTGACTATCAAGGAACACTTCCTAATTGTTATTGAACTAGACGCATGCTGTAAAACTAAAAGTCAGCCACAATCTTATGTTGGGCTTTTGGAAAGGGTGAAAATGTGAGGAGTGGATGGAAACGAGTGAAAATTGACAATGAATCAAAGCATGCGTGCATAATTTCCTAGATACACTGTCAATTTTGACTCATTCCTCTCTACTTATTCTGTCTTCATCTCTACAAATTAAACACACCTCTACGATGAAAATATACATATGTAAATGTTAAGTTGGTGCATATACTACCACAAGAAGTTGCCAAGTTCAGACGGAGTTTGTGAGTCATCAAGATCAGTTGATGGAGAGTGGACATGTCTCCCTTCATATGTGGTTATCACCATCCTTGGATCCTCAGCCAAGCGCTCCACGCGCTTCTTTACTCGACAGTTATCTTGGGTGCAACGGTAATAGCTTCTGCATATGCAACATATCCAAAACACACAATCATTTGAAGAACTATATACACGGTAATTGTAGAATATAGAGATTCACCAGGTAGGGGTGAAGCTAAGAATTGGCGTAGCCAATATAACTCCTGTCATTTTTAACAATATTAGAAGGGGTGGGGAGATGTTGTGTGTGTGTGTGTGTGTGTATTTTACAATTCTAGAAGATAGATTTTTTGTTTTTGTTGTTTTTGTTTTTTGTGTTCTTCTCAAATTAACTTTAACATTTTATTTTAATTATTTTTGTTGATTGTTAAGGTAAAATGAAATTTTTTTTATTGGAGAACAATATTAAAAACACAAAGTATTTTTCTTAAATTTATTTCGTTGAATTCCATAATAATATGTTAAATATAAAATAAATTTTTTTGACACGAATGATGCAATTTTGAAGGACTGTGTTAGATTAAATATATAACAATATATCAGTGAGAAGAGTTCAGAAAAATTAAATTTGTGATTTTATTTTATTTAACCCACGCTTTCGACCAAGTCAATCTTGTTCTAGTAGAAATCGATCTTAATATCATCAAATTTCTTGAATTATGACATTGGGTTTAAATTAAAAAAATTGAACTGATCAAAATATATAAACAAAGGACAATTTTAGTCTCTGTCTTTCTCGCTCTCTATCTCTCTCTGTACACACATATATATTATTAATTAACTTGTGTTGTTGGATTATTCATTGCCATATTAAGTGCTGTTGAGTAATCATGGCAGGGAAAACAAGCACTCACCATGATCCTTTAATTGTAACTCAGTTAATAAGCAAATCCTCCTAGCCATTTCTTTTTGTACGTAACATTACATACAATCTTGAACCTAAAAAAGGTCAATAAAGCCTGAGCTAGCTGCCTCACAATGATGGCTTTCTTATTTTTTCAAATCAATCTTTTGCATTACCTTATCCTTTTGCAAGTTCATAGTTAGTTCTCGGAAAACAGCACCGTATTATAAGAAAGATGTTTGTGGATGTCAATTGACAAAATTTTCAACCTCCCTATTGTAATTTCAAACACAATGATTAAAAATGATAACGAAAGTATGACTACGTGTTACAAAATTTAGCGGTATCCTTTTGTTGTAATACCCCCAGTCTAATAACTGACAACATAATTGATTGCAATATCATTGTTGGACAAATATTAACGATAAAATTATCACAATCCAAATATCCATATTGCTAGAGCTATTGCATTAGAAAAAAAGCACAATAGCCTTCCCTGTTCCCATATTGTGTGTTTCCACAGTAAAACATTCCTCAAGACACGAATATCCTATAAAGGGCTTTCGGTGGGGAAAAGTCTAAGCACAGTCCTAGAGTACTAGCAATGCTATGTATCATAAATGTTCAACAGGAAAAACAACTCTGCGTTCTTGTACTTACCCATGCTATAACATCAGAGATTCAATTTAGTTCTTTAATACTGGCAGATTTACATCCTCTCCTTTAAAATAATAATAATATTTAGAAAACTCTTGCATTTTTTCCCGAGAAGACATAAAGTGAAATGTAGCTGTCATATGATCAATGATTACAATCATGTACGTATATTACGAGCCAAATATTCAATTCTGATAAAAGTATGAAACAATAATGAGAGGTGGTTTGTGGGGGGGGAGAGAGAGAGAGAGAGAGAGAAGATATCAAATTTAAACAAATGTGCTTTCAACTTTTGTTGATCTGTGCACCAGTCACTACTAGTAATGCCAAACAGAAAGAGAGAAAATTTTAAATTGGAGAATATCTGAATATATACCTCGGGTGCTGCGTGTTCTTTACCACTTTCTGCCCGTACTTTCTCCACTTGTAGCCATCATCCAACACATCCACATCGCTCATAGTCTTGAAGCAAAACCTAGGCTCCCTAACCTTCCTTCTTGCCTTGATTTTCTTCATCTTCATGGCAGAAACCCCTAGATGATTATCATCTCCTCCAATTCTTTTACCCATCAAGCAATCCGTTACTTCTCCCCATGCCCTAAACAAAACTCATCTCTCTTTATTAATCTTTATTATAAAGATTAACTACAGATGGATATTTATATCCTCTTCCATTCTTAAATAATATGATATAAACTTGTTGGAGAGAAAATCACAGGAAAAGTAAAATATAACCATTGAGTTAATTAATGTTATGTAATCAATTACGGTGGTCCTTGTGTTTTTCTCTCTCCAATAATACACGAGATCTAAATATATTACGAAACCAAACTGGCTAGCATGCATGGTAATATGTGAAATTGAAAGTACCGGAAAATTTCTCACCATGAATTCACTCTCGATCTGTTCATGGAAAAGAGTTGACCTCCTCCTACTCCTCCTCCTCCTCCTCCCAAACTTGAAGTGAGATCTTCTCGTGGTCTTTGAACAGCGGTTGAGAATAGGGTTTCCGCAAAATTTGCAGTAGAAGCAGCAGCTTCAGATGAAAGTGAAGGAGCTATTGCACTGATGGTTTTCAAAGATTGATGGCAACCCAAAAGAGGAAAGGTTAGGTTTGGTGGGAAAGGAATGAACCCCATCTGCGTAGGATTCGGATCTTGCTCTTCGAACAAACTATGGTTAACAATAGTTTGGGACGTTGTTGACATCATTTCCTGATTCTCTTTCTCTCTCGTTTTCCTTCTCCACCCTTTACGACTCAACACAATCTCTAGCTATCTACCTCTACCGAAAGTTAGAGAAGATGAGGGATAAAAAAAGAGACAAATGGATTGGTTCGGTTCCTTTGATTTACAGAAATAATATAGAGGGTTTCTCTGGAACCTTGGGGACGAGGTTACACAATGATCGCGAAGTATATCTTATAACGTCGTCGCTCAACCAACTTTCCCTTTTCTCTTTGGCTCTCGTTTAGTTTTTTCTTTCTTCAAAGGATGTATGTTAATTTCTAATAAATTTCTTTTATCAAGTCATATGTGAAGGGTTGAGTAATAAGATAGATATTGAAATAGGAAAAATAATTAATTAATAAATAGGTGGGTAGGGCAGAATGTTGAAAAAAGGAAGCGAGAATATGCTAAAGGAGAGACTACAGTAACAATTCTAGCTACCAGACCTTGCGGTTTGCTTCAAATGATCATGGTCCTGTTTGTCCTATAAAGCTTGGAAATTCTATGTCCTTCGTGGTTAGTGGAACTTCACTGTGGCATGAAAGTCAACAATACAAGACAAATAATGGTTCGACAGAGAGGTTGCTCTCTTACACCCTAATTTGAAAAAAATATATCAATCTTAACTTTTTTTTATATTTAATTTTTACACTTATTTTACATTTTTATTATTTTAAAATTATATCACTCATCATATTTAATACTTTCTCTCTCTTTCCTTTTAATTCTCTTCTTTTTTCCTTAAAATGAATACACTCCAATAGGTGTATTTTTTTTTTCATAATGAATATAACTTTCATGCAACAGCCCCGTCACTGTATATAATAATTATAATATGGGCAAAAGGGAAACCTGTTGAGTGCACAATAATAGAACGAGGGATACATAATTAAGTATGAGTGAAAATTATCATTCACCAATTCACCATTGATTATTCCTTAAAAAAGGTAAAAAGAGAGCCGGTGATACATGTATCTTTTTCACTTTGTAGGGTTTCTTTTATATCTTTTCATTATAAAGATGAGCTCTTTTGGGGCACCATATATAATAAAAGAAATATCAGAGGACAATGATGATGAATCTTGGGTGCAAATCTATCACACACTCTCTGCATCGGCTGGGAAGATATCATTATGATGGGTGAAAGAGGCCCTATTTGACTTTTCGCAACAAAAAAGCTAATCGCCTTTCTCATAGGCCTTTTGGTAATTATTTAACTTTCTAAAACTCGAACTAACCCACATCCACCTACCTTTTTTTCTCAATTTCCTTCAGACCAACCTTATTATATTGTTGTCATCTCTTCAATTAATTGTGTAACATTCATGATTAACTTCATATTTTGTATGCCTAAACAATACGTGGACCAATGTGGCAATTGAAAGCATAGTTTCTCTACCGTTTTGAAAATTTACCCATAATTCAATAATCATGTGTTCTTTTTGTACTTGATCCAGTTGCTTAACTAAGCATTAAATGATGCACTTCATTAATAGAAATTAATGAATGAAGTAAAAAGTAGCCGCTGAGTAACGATTTCTGCAGTGAGACCACAGAGATTATATGATTAATGCAATCCATGAACAATTGGTCATCTGTGCATATATAGTAAAAACCCTTCATTTTTTTTTCTTGTTAGTTTTGCTGGCTATGCATTCTATTAGACAGTGAGTTGGAAGATATATTAGGAGAAATCATATTTTCCCACTATATATATATATATATATATATATATATATATATATAATTTCGTTATTTATAGCGTGGAAGTAAGAATGAGCTCTTCATAACCAATAAAATATTTAATTATGTGACTTTATTTTATTTATCGGTATAAATATTTAATTAAATATCTAATCCAAATTAATTTAAATTCTAATTTTTAATATTTCTTCTCTTTATTTTACCATTTTATTTTAAAAATTGATAATTGACCACTTGATAAATGATTGTTTCTTATCGTAATATTATAATTTTTTAATTTAATAGCATTAAAAGTTGCTTCGAACAGTTTTTACTATATAAAAATATAGATATTCTCTCTTCTCTCTAAGTCATGAAATATACCAGAAATCCTTCTTTCTTTGGTCTCCTTAATCAAGTATACTTTTGAAATATTTAATATATTGCGACTCAATTCGTGTGTAATTTGTCAAAAAAGAATTATATCATTATGAATTAATATATACCATAAGCATATAATTTATCTGTTTCAAAATTTTCGTTCAAAGTTCAGCTGGTCGCTTTACATATCATGGGCATGGTAATAAAGTTTTAAAAAAATGTTAAAAAGAAAAAGAAAATAAAAAATTAAAAAATGTTAAAAAGGAAAGGACGTTGCTGTTCAAACGGTTCACCCTTTTGTCAGATGTGATATCAACAATATATTGTATAGCTATTTGCACTACTGTGTACAACTGAGTAATTAACAATTATCAGGGGATATATATTATCAAACCCGTGCATTTATGACAAATTTTTAGAAAAAATAACAAGTTCGCTTAAAATGGAGAAACTATTACAATATTAAAATTCGAGCTCACCAGAAAAAAAAGAAATTATATAACTTCAATACCTCTAAACAAGGTATTATCACATTGCTAAAGATGAAGGTCACCTCATAAAAAATGGTGGGGGGGGGGGGGTGGGTGGAGAATTCATTTTCATTTTCAATAAAATGTACAATCATTACAAAATTTATTTTAAAAAAAAACTAAATTATCAATATAAACATTGGAAGTTTACATTAATATTATTATGTGTCATATTAATAGAAAATTCTATTCATATATATTATTATTAGTAAAATACATCATGAATATTATTTGTGCAAACCCGCAACTTTATGTTAATACTTTTTAACACCTAGCGGTTTTCTTCTATTAGTAGTTTTCTTTTAGGGGAAATGATAATTGCTGAAAGTGTAAAACTCATATATCACTATATAGTTCGGACGATGCTATCAAAAGTAAATTTGATGAGATTTGTCTAATGAAAATAAATAAAAGGAAGAAGTAAGTAATATAGTTAAATGATGTTAAATAAGGAAAAAGTTGTTGATACTAGATCATACAGTAAAATAGATTAAAATAAATTAATTATGTAATTCAATATTTACTATAAAAAAATGTATTCATTAACAATTTAATATTAAATTAACATTCATTATTATAATATTTTAAAAAAAAGTTAAAATGTTAGTGGAAAGACTTTGAGTTTGTATTAATAATGTAATGTATTATACTAACAAACAATTTATTAATATAGAATGTTCATACATATTATCTATCTATATATATATATATATAATGTATTATTTGTTAATATATATCTTCATTTTTTTCCATTAAATTTTTATTTTTGTTAAACAAATTTTATATTAACAAAAATTATTTGAACATTTAGCATTTATTTATTAATAAATGAAAAATTGTGTATCTTATTTTTATTACAATGATAAGCCTAGCTTGGTGAATAAGAAATAATGAAATATAATTAAATTCCAATATAAAAAGAAACCATAGTTTTATCTTAATACTAGAGTGTCATAAAATTGAAAAGATGCAATATCATATCCTCAATGAGGTATCTGCAAGTCACAAGGTTTGCAGGGAAAACAATTATGAAAATAATAAACACGCGACACTGACAATAATGATTTTTTTGGTCATTTTTATATACATTTGTTTTGAATTTTTTGTTTACCAAATCAATGCACTTTGATTTATTATTTTTATTTAATTGATCTAGAGAGTGCAAAAAAAAAAAGATTTAATTATATTTTTGTGTCTACATTTTAATTTATGTGTAATTTTTTAATTTTATTTGTTTTTTGTATTTAATCTATGTTAATATTTTCATTGTTCAAATTAAGTTTTTTTAACCCATTACTATATTCAATAATTAAAAAAATATAATAAAAATGTGAAAATATTATTAATTTGTAAAAATTGGTAAAAACTATAAACTTTTCAAATATAAAATATAATAAAATTATTTTAAATATTTTTAATTTACAAATTTAATTATATAAATCAATTATATATTATAACTGTATAAGTAATGAAATTAATATAAATTAAATTATCAAAACTGAAAATAAAATTAAGCATAAAAATAATTATGATGAAGATTTACCATCACCGAAAGTAAACAAGGGAATTGTATGTGAAATGGTATCTGCTAGCGTGAGGCTAACGTAGCGATGATGTCATAAGGAGTACGTAGCGTGGTAATATTATAGTTAATAATTTAATATATTGAATCTTCGACTCTAACGCAAAACCCTTGGTATTGTTAAATTATATATATTAATTTAAAAATGATAATGCCTTTTCTTTTCTGGTTTAAGCCCTAAGTAAGTTGGAGAAAAGGCATGCAGTGGCAAACATGCATCATTTCTTTATTCCACTGCTTATAGGTCGCCATTATGGCATTCGAACTACCACCTATTAATCCTCTCTCTCTCTCTTTCTCTCTTCCCAGTCACTATATTATTCACCATTGTTGCTTAATTATATATATAAGTAGTAGATAATTCGTGGATTATGAAAGGTCTTAATACGAAAAAAGGAAGTTGTAAACTTATTGAGAGAACAAGATAGAGTTCTCTAACTCGTCGATCATGATTAAGATATATATATATATAATCTGTACTATATAACACTTCAACAACTCGGCTAATATTATCCCTGAAAAACAATTGCATTTCTATAAAGCCAGATATGAAACAAATTAATTAAACTATCGCCAGCAAAGCCATCATCATCGAAATTAAATCCTTTAAATAATAGCGAATGATTTGTGAGACGAGATCCACAACCCATACACAAAGGTTATAGTTATTAGCATTACAGTTCAATTATAGTACCACCATGGGATTCATATATTTCTCAACACACGATCAATATGATAAGGAGGAGTTTACTGTTCGGGGAAAGCAGTATAACTCATACGTAGATATATCTATAACATTTATACCATCAATATATATATATGTATATTATCATGTAATATTTTTATCTTTTTCCTCTCTCTTTTTCCTTCTCATTTCTTTTTCTTTCTCAAAAGAATAATTAAAATTTTTATTTCATTTTTAATCAATTTTTCTTCTTAATAAATGAGAAAATAATTAAATATGTTCTGTGTTTTCAGTATATGAAATTAATATTTTTTATTTATTACACATTTTATAGAACGTTAACAAAAATAATAAGAAGACACGACAGAAAAATATAACACTACTCTTCTCAAAAGA